CTCTTCCTTCTGCGGTTGTCTTCCTCCTCCTCCTCATCCTCCTCTTCCTCCTGTTCCTCCTTCTACCCCCAAGATGGTCCCAGAAGGTCGCGCATGGCTCAAGGTTGCCTCCGACAGACCTCCAAGAGGCCTCAAGACAGCCTCACGATGCTCCAAGATAGCTGAGCATGGCTCAGGATAGGCTCCGACAACCTCTAGACGAGCATGGCTCAAGATAGCCTCCAAGAGACCTCAAGAAAGCCTCCGATCATGTGTGGATGTGCTGGTGGGGATACGGGAAGCGTCAAACCTTGATCGGCAGTAGTGGAGCGGCTATGATGCCAACCTCGAGAGACAGCTATGCTCAGGATGCGGCCCCGAACTGCGTTGAGCAGGACCATGGACGCGAAGGCCTAGGAGGCCCCCTGTTGAGGTCAGCTGGGACTGCATCAGGGGGCTGTCTGTGCGCAACCCAGTCACCGCAAGCTGAAGTGAGATAAAATGAGATGAGAACCGTGAAAACCGAACTCCCCGAACGTGCGCGGACAGCCCGATTGAGGGAAATGGTGTGGCGATCGACCCCACAGACTCCACCGCTCTGGCTACTCCACGTCCTTCTGCTGCGGCCCTTCCTTCTTCTGCGATGCGAACCAAGAACCCCACGGCAAACGAACGACAGCCGTCTGCAGACGCCAACAATCGCCGCGAAACACGAAGCACTTGAGATCTGGGGACAACAACTCTTGGTCTCAGGAAAACGCTCTGACGCCCAGACGTGTCCCGCTGCCTCCGCCGCAGCAACGATAGTATCATGACAAATCGCAGCCGAAACCCCGGATCCCAGCTTTTTGCGGCGTTGCACGAGCGAGCTCGACCCGCATAGGAACTGAAGGCAAGCGGTAACGCGCGGTGTGAACAACACATCGCCGCCAGGACCTCAGGGTCCCTCCTCCTTCCTCCCCGGATCTGCTGCTTCCACCTCCTCTTGGCGGCGCGCAGAGGGGGGTTTTGGGGGGAAGGCGTCTTAGAAGCAGGCTGCTTCTTAGAAGGCGCGGGGGCCTTACATCTATCCGCCACCGTGCCTCTGGGCACGGAGTGGGCGTGCCCTCAGGTCCTTTGCCTAATCCCTGGGGCCTCAGTCCTCAGTCCTGGAGAATCTGGAGCCCCAGTCCAAACTTCAACTTTGGCGGGGCTCCTGGCGTGGCTCCCCCACGGCTTGTGGCATTATTTTTGGGGGGCCCGCGAGGGTCCCAAGACGGACCAAGAGGGCCCCAAAAGACCACCAAGACGGTCCAAGAGGGCCCCGAGTCGCCCGAAGATCGGCCCAAGACGGCCCAAGAGGCATCCAAGATGCCCCAATGAGCCTCGAAGAGGCCTACCAAGAAGACACCAAGAGGCCCAAACCGTGGATGTTCCTTGGGTGTTTGGAGGCGTTGGGCCTTCTCGCATTTCTGGCCCCCCGACGACGCTACAGGACGGGCCAAGAGGCACTCAAGACCACCCCAAACAGCAAAAGAGGCATCTAAAAGGGCCTCAAGACAGCCTAAGAGCGCCCCAAGACGGCCCAAGAGGCGCCCAAGACGGCCCAGGAGGGCCCCAGGACGGTCCCAAAAGGGCCCAAGAGCGGTAACACGAACCGAAACTCCGAGCCGTCCGCCCCAAGAGGCCCCAAGGGGCCCCCAAGAGGCCCCCAAGAGGTCCGCAAGACGCCCCCAAGAGGCCTAGAGGCGGCCTCCAAGAGGCCTCCAAACTGCCTCCAAGGGGACCCCGAGAGGCCTCCCGCGAGATCCCAACGAGCATCCAATAGGCCTCATACCCGCAGCTCAGACACGGTGGCGACGTGGGCCGGAGACCATCAGGTAGAGAAGGCCCGCGCCCTCTGAGGAGGAGCCCCCTTCTGGCAAGCCTTCCCACCTCTCTCAAACCCCCCTCTGCGCGTGGCCGATCCTCACAACACACACACACACACAACAAAAAACACACACACACACATATACACACATCGAGACAACTGTTGGCCCCTGCAGGCCCAGCGCCGTGCCACCCCGAGCGGGCACCCAGATCACGGCGCGGGCGCGCGGAAGAGCGGCAGGGGAGACCATGCAGCTGGATGACTGACCAGAATGCCCGAGGGAAAACATGTGCTCGATTAAGTGCTCCGCGAGACCTGATCCCCAACGGGAGCACGCAAGGGATGCCTGACGACCGAATTCTCGAGCGACAGAAGCCAGGGCGGAATGGTGGGTTCGGGAGTGAAACAGCGAAGAGAAAGGACAATCATGAGCGGGGCGACCATCTCCGAGTGGGCCCGCGTCCTGTGCGGCCGCGGGGGGGGGGGAGCCAGACGAACCACAGAGGCCAGAGACTGTGCAGGGCGACGAAAGCATACACCGGCCGGCAACTGCAGTGGGGGCCCGACCACAAGACACCTTCCATAAGAACCCCGACCCTGAGACCCCAGGACGTCCGTTTGATTTTTTGGCGTGGGAACGTCACGCCGTCCATCGCAAGACCATCGACACCCAAGAAACCCAGGGCACTCTGGAGGCAGGCAGGGTGTTGCTTGGCATGGGCCTCCACTGCACACTGTTGCTGAAAGGGTACTCCAGATTTCGTAATAAAGGGAGGGGGGTCTCATTTCGGGGGGGGGTCTCTTCCAGGCTATCTTGGAGGGCCTGGGGGGTCTGGGGACGATGTTTTGGAGGGTTCTCCCACGGGGGAGGTCTGAAATGGCTTGTCTTGGAGGGTCCAGACCCCCTCCCTTTTATTACGAAATCTGGAGTCATCGTGGGGCATGGCGGAGACTGGTACGCCTTGTGATGCGTGGCTGGGCCTGGGCTCGGCAGCAAGGGCCCGCGCCAGCGGCACGGCCTTCTGCCTCCAGAGGAGCTCTCGAACGCAGAGCAGCCCTTCGGGCCTTTCCATCATTGAAATTGCAAACATTCCAGCCCGATGATCACCACCCCGACACGCGGAGCCATTGAGTAAACGCACCCAGAGAAATGATAAAGCAGGGCAGGGCTGTCTAGTAAACGCACAGGGCCGTTTAGTACAAGCCAATTGTCCGATCCAGGTGTTTTGTCCTCCCTTGAATCATATGCCATGACGGAGCGTGACTGAATACAGCTGGCTTTTCTCGCTCGATTTCTGTGAATCTTGCTGTGGCAAACCTCCTCGTGCGCTCACACCCCTCAACAAACGAGCAAAGCAAAGGGCCAAGCAATGTGCGGCTGCGAGCAAATCAAGACTTGACCGTCTCCTCAAGCGCGCCGCGAGAAGGACGAAGCCCTTGACATACACGTGTGAGGGGTGTGCCGAAATGTGCGGGGAACGCTAAGCAAACCCTGCCACTGGGCACTTCGGTGGAGATCTGCATGGGGCCACGAAGCATGTGACTGGTGTGCCGGGGGAACGCTGTACGGACATTGCCAGCTGGGGCCTCCAGTGGAGATCTCTTTCCGGCAACGAAACATTGGAGCGGTGCTCCGAAGTGGACATGCGGAGGGCAGGTAAGGAAGGATGAAGGAAGTGGGGAACGAGGAGAGGCCCCGATGTCCCTCCAGGCAGATCCGACAGATGCGCAAGAGCTTCCCAACCGCCCTTGACAAGGCCGCACAAGGAGTCCAGGATGCGCCTAGGAGGTCCTGTGGAAAGGCCCGAACGCACCCCCACACCCAGGACGACGCACCCCCAGTGAAGCGTCGCAGCGGCCACAGTTCCAGCCACGGTTGGCGCCCAAACGCAGCCGTCGGGGGGCCCCGAGGTGGGCACGGAGGCGCCCTCTCCAGGGTACGTCAGCTCGGGGGTACGTTTGGCCTCCCCTGAGCCCCTGGGGGGCCACAGACACTGAATGCTTTTTGCTCTGCGTGCTTATCGGCATCTACGACATCTTCGCTGGGGGCGCAGAAGCCTACCAGGGGCGGCCCGACAGGACACCCAGAAAATACCCGGGGGCGCTCCAAGACGGCCGCATCCGGGGGTCCTGCGGTCCTTCGCCGACCACGCCCAGCTGCCGCAACACATGGCACCACAGGAGATCGGGGGGGTGAACCCGTCCAGCACTTCCTCCTGCTGAAGGGGGGCGAAGATGGAGGTCTCCCAGATGGGGTCCGCGCAGATGGGGTCGGAGGATCGCGCCGCATCGACGATGCATCGGCGACTTCGGCGGTGAATCGGCGACGCCGCCGTGGAAAACATCGGACTCCACATCGAGCCGCATCGCCGATGCAGCGGCGCTGCGGCGCGACCCTCTGACCCCAGCTGGAGGAGGAGGAGGAGGAGGAGAAGGAGGAGGAGGAGGAGGAAATGGAGGAGGAGGGGGAGGAGGAGGAATTGGAGGAGGAGAACAGAGGAGGAGGAACAAAAAGGATGGTCCTCGATCCCCGAGCCTCGCCCTCGCCGAGAGAGCCCGCGGGCGGACCCGCTGAGCCCCCGCGCGGGGGGCCCCACAGAGAGGTATGCTTCTGCCGATGCTTCTTCCTGGACTGGCCTTCGACGCAGGGGGGGAGGAGGAGGAGGAAAAGGAGGAGCACGACGAGGACGAGGACTAGGATGAGGAGGAGGACGACGAAGAGAACGAGGATGAGGAGGAGGAGGAGAAGGAGGAGGAGGAGGAGGAGGAGCAGGAGGAGGAACAGGAGAAGGGAGACGATGAACAGGAGGACAAGGAGGAGGACCAGGAGGGGGAGCAGGAGGAGGAGGAGGAGGAGGAGGAGGAGCAGGAGCAGGAGGAGGAAAAGGAGGGGGAGCAGGAGCAGGAGCAGGAGCAGGAGGAGAAGCGGGAGCAGGAGGAGGACGAGGAGGAGGAGGAGAAGGAGGAGGAGGGGATGGTCCTCGATCCTAGGAGGAGGAGGAGGAAGAGGAGGAGGAGGAGGAGGAGGAGGAGGAGGAGGAGGGAGAGGAGGAGCAGGAGGAGGAGGAGGAGGCGGAGGAACCGGAGGAGGAGGGGGAGGAGCAGGAATTGGAGGAGGAGGATTGCGGAGGAGGAACAAAAAGGATGGTCCTCGATCCTCGAGCCTCGCCCTCGCCTTGGAGGGCCTGCGGGCAGGTCCTCCGGGTCCCCGTGCGGGGCGCCGCGCGGGCCGTCGGGGCGGGGGGCGCTCTCCGGCGCGGCGTGGAGCCAGGGGTCCTGCCCCGGGGGCGGCGGCGGGAAGCAACGCCTTCCATGTGGGTTCCTGTGCTTCCTCTGTCGCTCGTATGTGCACAGCCGGCCCGCACCACGACGAGGATGCAGGGCCCTTTTTGTGCGGCGCCCATCTCGAAGCTTGTCGAGCGGGGCGCGGCCAGCGGGAGTGGCACGGAATATGGGCCGAGGGGGGTAAGGATGCAAGCGCGCCCTTGGGAACACCTGTCATCCTTACTGTGCGGGTCATCCTTACTGTGCGGGTCGAATATATCACGTTGGCTCGTTTCCTGTTTCAAGAAAGGGGGGGGGGCAAAGCCTAGCAGGTCTTCGCAAGAACCGAGGATCCCACAGCCGCCATAGCACCCCTTTACGAGGCCTACAAGGGCCCAGGGGCTCCAAACTTGAGCAAAAACTGGGAGGACGTCAGGCAAGGGAAAATTGTTTATCAACCCCCGAGACGCGGCCACTGAGCCAGATCAGCCCACGTTAACCCCGTGACTGAGCCCGACCCAACCAGATTAATGCACTAGCTATATATATATATATATATACATACATACATATATGCATATATACACACATATGTTTTACCATACCTGGTGCTGGCGGGGAGTTCCCCCGACAGCTCCACGAGCAACAGGACTGATTGCCTCCATGGCATGGATGTGCGGTTAGGTCACAGGGCCAGCAAGACGTGGCCGAGCAGGAACCCCATCGTCTACATTCCAAGCGGAGTCCCCAGCAACGGGGCGGCATGCCTGAGTGCACCACGCCCGCTGCTGTTCAGAGTCGCCGGGCCTGGCGATCTCGGCAGAGCCTTCGAGCAGCCTCATGATGCCATGGATGTGCCGCGATATCATCTGCCCAACGCCCGCGACGCCGCGGACCATTTGAGGGGCCGCGCAATGAGCCAGAACGCCAGGCCACAGCGCGAGTTCTCACTGGCGACCCCACCCAAGCAGCCAGCAGTGGATATGGATAAAAACAAAAGGACCCCCCCCACGAAATATCCATATCTACAACCGCGGCCAGGAAAAAAAACCGGCGGCGATGGCCTGCAAACCCACACCAAGGCCCGTGACGCCGTAATGTGCGCATCCAGACCCGGCTTGAACTCTCAAGCGGATGGTTCGGGGGCCAGGGCTGAGGGCCTCAACGTAAGACGCGAAACCATAGGACGAAATATATGTACTGTATAACGAGCCATCATTATCGTTTGCAACACCATGTTGTTGCTCTCGCTTCCTCATGGGACAACGTCGATCTGACCTGCATCCACGGCCCAATCGCAGTTGAAGGCGATGGCGTGCAACCTGTGTTCTAATACGCACATGTGAGCTTAACTTCTGCGTTGGATCCACCAACAGATCAACCCTGCATCGAAAAAATGGGATTGGCGGCGGTGGCGGTCAAAGATCAGCGGTGGAATTGTCAAATGGATTGAGATGGATTGAACAAGAATGTGGCACGTGTGGTCGGCCGAATTTTCGGGGATGGACAGGACCCCCTTTAGCAAAACGTGGCTTAGTGAAAACGACCTCGGGCCCAAACCTTGCGGGCGCGAGCCTGGAAAGTGACGGCCGGGGGCGCCGACTCGAGAACCGAAAACGGGCAATTCACTAATCGACGTGTCAGGGTACTCCAGATTTCGCAATAAAGGGAGGGGGGTCTCATTTCGGGGGGGGTCTCTTCCGGGCTGTCTTGGAGGGCCTGGGGGGGCCTGGGGACGATGCTTTGGAGGGTTCTCCCAGGGGGGGGGTCTAAAACTTCTCGTCTGGGAGGGTTGAGACCCCCTCCCTTTTACTACGAAATCTAGAGCAGGAGGTCTGTCCACCTCCGAGACTCCCCAGCGCCGATGGCGAGATAAACTCCCAGGAGAGCATCCGAAGGCGTGGCCCCCTCGGCGGAGAGCGGAGGAGGGGCCGGTTCAGGCGGACGGTCCTCCCTGGCGTCTGCCCTGCGTTTTCAGGGAGGGCCCTGGGACACACCCAAGTAAGTAGACACGAATCCAAAGATCCCCCTGACCTTCCCACATTTCCTGGGTTTTCGTCTCCCCCCCCACTTCCCATAGGCTCCCACATCTCCCTGGGAGTCGACGATGCATTGTGTCTGTATGTGATTTCCTCTCCTGGGTTTTCCCCGTCGTCGGCTGCACGCAAGAGGTGGCCCTGGGCGAGGGGGACCCTTGGTGCGCGGCTCTGGGGGGCCGCGGGAAGGCCAAATCCAAGCGCGCACGCCGGTGGCTTGGAGGCCCGAAATTTGCACGGACAACAAGAAGGACAATGCCGGACAACGAGTGCTGTCCCAAACCAACCGCGGCCGCTGTTGGGCGGGCGGGCTTCTGTATCAACTGGACACGGGCCGCGGCGACACCGACAGCGAGTCCTGTTCAAAACGAGCAGGAGCTGCTGTCGGGCATTGTGCCCATTCTCTCCGTACCGATTCCGTTCGTGCCGAAGTGGGGGGGGCAGCACTGCGGGCCCGCAATGAAAAGGTTGCCACTCCGGCGAGAGGTCGCTGCTGCGCGTGGCCGGCATTGGCCCCCCGCGCCGAACGACGGGCGAACGTCGACAGATTGTGGATGAGCGTGGATGCCGGGCAACACGACGGCGCGCAGGAATCGGACGTGCAGGCGGTGAAACCGCCCAGGCCACACACTGAATTCTGCCCCAAACAAAAAAGCACCGCTAGCCAGCGTGGACCCCAAGCAATGATGTCTTGTACTCTGTGAGGTCAAATCCAGGGGGTGCCATACGCAAGGTGCAATCGAGGCGGCACCATCCATGGGGTACAATATATGCGATGGAAAGCAACGCGAGGCAATGCAAAGCAGCGCAGAGCAGCGCAACTACATGCAATACAAGACTTAGCAATGCAAGACAATGCAAAGCAAGGCCCAAGCAGTGTAAAGCAAAACACAAAAAATTCGCCGGCCCAACGGGCCAGAGGCGTGCTAAGATCTCCGGTAACTGGTTAACAATTTTCTAGTTCGCGCGCGCGGGGCGGCCCCTGGGGGTCCCCGGACGAAAAGTACCCCGACCAGGTCCCGGCCGGGTCCCCCCGAGCGCTCCATGAGCGCACCAACAGGGCTCCGAGACGTCCCCGAGAGCCCCAAGAAAGGCCAAGAGGCCCCCAAGAGGCCCCCAAGATGGTACACGAGGGGTCCGACATGCCACAAGATCGCTCCAAGACGCCCAAGATAGCCCCCAGACGCCCCAAGAGGCCTCCAAGAGCACTCCCAATAGGGCCCCCGGAGGCAAAAATCATTGTTTTTCCATAGGTTTTTGAGAGATTTTGGAGCTTCCACCTTTTCGGCTTCCCGACGCCCCAAGACGGCCCAAGAGGCCCCCAAGATCGCCCCAAGAGGGCCCAAGAGGCACCCAAGAGGGCCCCAAGATGGCCCAAGAGGGCTCGAAGACGGCCCAAGAAGCCTCCAAAACGGTCCAAGAGGGCCCCAAGAACGCCCCCAAAGGGGCCCCAGAGAGGGAACACGAAACAACATTTCGAGCCCTCGGCCCTAAGAAGCCCCTACGAGGCCCCTAAGAGGCCCCAAGAGGCCCCCACGGGGCCCTCAGGAGGCCCCCAAGAGTCCCCCAAGCGGCCCCAGGAGGCCCCCCAAATGCCCCCCCGAGCGCCCCAGGAGTCCCCCAAGCGGCCCCAGGAACCCCCAAAGCGCCGCATTGACACCAGGCCCTCGGGCAAACGGCAGACATGAGACTGTATGGGCCGGCGGAATGAGCGAAGCGATTAAATGAGATTCAAAGCAACGAGCAACAATGCGAAACCATGAAAATTCCGCGGAGAAATGTAACTCAAAGCAAAGTAACGGACATCAGCGCAAAGTAATGCAAAGGACTGCAATGCAAAGCAATGCAAAGCAATGCAAAGCAACGCAGAGCAACGCAAAGCGACGAAAAACGACGCAGAGCAGTTCAAACCAATCCAGAGCAATGCACCGCAATGCAAAGCAATCCAATGCGATTGCAATGCGATGCGATTGCCAACCCCGTGGCTGAGTGGGTGGCCAACTCCGTGGCCAGGACGGGTGCGCCCTCTGGCCATCTACGAGGCCATGTTTCCATGGCGGTTCGGCGAAGCACCGACCTTACACCGACTTGTGTGGTCCTTCGGCGAGGCGCCGCCCTCACACCGACTCGTGTCCCGCCCTGCGACTGCGCTGCAATTTCCAACGGCGGCGCGAGGTGCAGCCGACACCACGGCCCGACTGAATCCCCGACGGCTCTTGGAGACCGCAACATAAAGGAGGAGGAGGAGGAGCAGGAGGAGGAGGAGACCAGCACATGGAGACCAGCAGAAAATGAGGCCGTCTGGTTGGCCCAGAGTTGCTCCTCGGGCCAGGCGATGGCGCCGTCGAACCAGGTGGCACTGGCAAAGCCACGATGCCGCATCAACTGTGGCCTCGCACGGGTAGACTTGTCCATTGCCTCAAAACTCGTATGTGTAAAAACGGCAACAAAAAAACAACAATAATAATGACACAAACCAAAGCAACAAAACAACAACAACAACAACAACAACAACAACAACAACAACAACAACAACAACAATCACAACAACAACCACAACAACAACAACAACAACCACAACAACAACAACCACAACCACAACCACAACCACAACCACAACCACAACCACAACCACAACCACAACAACAACAACAACAACAACAACAACAACAACAACAACAACAACAACAACAACAGCATCAACAACAGAATGCGCCGGCACCTCGACGTCGCTCGGGGGCCGAAACATGTCATCATTGGCGAAGGCCTCGCGGTCGTGGCCCGTCGCGGCTGCTCGCGGTCGCCAGCTCGCCAACCCCGGGGGCACGACTGCGCCCCAAGACGAAGGGGGGGGTAAAGAGGAGGAGAAGGAAGAGGAAGGAAAGGGGGGGGACGACGACGACGACGACGACGACGACGACGACGACGACGACGACGACGAGAAAGACGGGGAGGACGACGACGAGGAGGGAGACGAGGAGGACGACGAGGAGGACGACGACGAGGACGACGAGGAGGAAGACGAGGAGGACGACGACGGGGAGGAAGACGAGGAGGAAGAGAAGGGGGGGGGAGGGGCGCGTGAGAACCGGGAAGCCAGAAGGGGAAGAGGCGTACTTCTTGCACGCATCATCTCCGAACGTACCCCTCACGAACAGACAAATTCCAGAGGACGTCAGCCCACCCAGCGGCATGGTTCGTGTGAGCCAGTAGGCGAACGGCACGCCCGAGCTTGTTTTTTTTTTTCTGCTGGCGCTGCCCCTGCCGTGCGACACGGGGCGGGCGAGCCGGCGCGGATTTCGTTGGGATGCGGAAGGGACGGGACGACACGCTAACCTATGATACGCGCACCCACTTGTCTCGGCTACACGTAAGAGTGACCCTGGGTAAGAGTGACCTTTGGTGCGCGGCATTGGGGGGGCCGCGGGGAGGCCAAATCCAGGCGCGCTGGCCGCTGCTACCGCTTCGCGTTCAGTCATCTGGGGGCCCACTTCGGCGAAAGGTCACTCTTACGTCTGGTCTTGCCTGTTGCCTGTCGAGGGCGGCGGCCCCGCGCACCCGGCGGCGACGGCACGCTCCTTCGCCAGGTGGTGCCCCGCGTCCGCGCCCAGGCGGGAGAGCAGGCCCTGGCGCAAAGGGGCGCGGCCGCGCGGACCCCGACGTCCCACCCGCTTGGCAAAAAACTGGTGGGCCTGCTTTCCACCACCACCACCACCGCCACAAATTGGAGGGGGAGGGGATCCTCCTCCTCCTCCTCCTCCTCCTCCTCCTCCTCCTCCTCCTCCTCCTCCTCCTCCTCCTAGACTCCCTCCTCCTCCCTCCTCCTCCTCCTCCTCCTCATCCTCTCCTCCTCTCCTCCTCCTGCTCCTCTCCTCCTCCTCGTTCCTTCCTCCTCCTCCTCCTCCTCCTCCTCCTCCTCCTCCTCCTCCTCCTCCTCCTCCTCCTCCTCCTCCCCCCCCTCCAACCTGTGGTGGTGGTGGTGGAAAACAGGCCCATCAAAAAAATGTGCCTCGAGCGATCTCCGCCCGAGAGCGCGAGGCGGCATCCCCAGGGAACACCAGGGCACACTGAGCTTGGCGACCGCGGCACGCAGCCGTTGTTCGTCGAAGTCGCGTTCCGTGACGCCCAGGGAGCACCGGCACATCTTGGGACCTGCGGCCTCGTTGATGCAGGGTGTGATAGGCGGGCCGGAAGCTCTCTTCATCACAATCGAACAACCCCCAACCTGCCAGGTGGAGGAGAACGACGTTTTTACCTTTCCCCCCGAAAGGGTGCCGGCACTGAAGGGTTCTGCAATCCTCGCGGTGGGAGGAAATCACGACGGGAGGTTGTTTGGGGTGGTTGGCCTCTGGGGCCCTTTGCCAGGCTCCAGGGCAGTCAGAAAACACCTCGGGATGGCCCTGGGAAAAGAACAGAGAGACTCCAAGGCGCCCTGCACAGGAACGTCGAAACACATCGGACGTCTGGGACTGGACCTGCTGAGGTCGCGCCTGGTGCCCCAGTGGGCGCCAGGTCGAGGGCACCTCGTGGGCGCCCCGTGCGCTGGGCTGGTCTGCTCAAGCTTCGTCGGGTGCCCGGTCGTGGGCACCCCGTGCGCTGGGCTGGGCCGTCCGAGGTTCGCCGGGTGTCGGAGCGCTGCCCGGTCGTGGGCGCCTCGTGGGCGCCCCGCGCGCTGGGTGTTTGCCCTTTGGCCTCCCGACGAGCGCCTCGTGGGCGCCTCGCGCGCTGGCACTACACAGCCTGCACCGCATACCGTGGAGGCCCGACCACGAGGAACCTTCCACAAGAAACCCAGCCCTGAGACCCCAGGACGTCCATGGATTTTTTTGGTGCGGCAACATCACGCTGTGGATGCCAAAACCATCGGACCCAAGAAACTCAGGGCACCCTGGAGGCACGCAGGGTGTTGGGTGTTTCTTGGCATGGACCTCCACTGTAGTTGCTTGGCACACATCTGTCAGCACGTATCCTACACCGCATAGCTTGCACCACACATGCTGCACCACTTAGCAAACACCACAGTAAGAGTTCCGCACAGATCGTACCACACAGCCTGCACCACGCAGCGTGCACTGCATTGCTTACGCCACGTAATGTACGTCTCGTTTGCTCCACAGCATGGCTCGCACCGCACATACTGCACCACATAGCTTGCACCAAGCATCTTACGCACACCTCAAAGATTACACCACTTGGTTTGAATTATACGTAGCACCCCGCAATTGCGGATAACAGTGAGGGGGCGGGCGCGGGCGACGCGGGCGTCGTCGAGCCGGCGGACCTCGTGGCCCCCACCTTCCTTGTCGATGGCGCTCTCCTCCACCTCCTCCTCCTCCTTCTCCTCCTCTTCCTCCTCCTTCTCCTCCTCCTCTTCCTCGTCCTCATCGTCATCGTCATCCTCCTCCTCCACCTCGTCCTCCTCCTCCTCCTCTTCTTCCTCGTCCTCCCTCTCCCCCCTCGTCTTTTCATCATGGCCCTCCCATTGTCGTCCTCTCCCTCGTCCTCCTGCTCCTCCTCTTTTTCTTTCTCCACGTTCTCCTTACATCCTCTCTTCTTCCACGTTCTCCTCGTCCCCTGTTTACTCATCCTGCCTCCCCCTCCTTTCCCAAGATAACTGCAACGCAATCCTTTTTTCCACTTTATGCTCCCCGCCTTCTCTGATCAAGGCAACTCGCCAGGGCAAAGTTGCTGGACGGGCTGGCGTGGATGTGCGGGGCGTGAAGAGGTCCTTGCGGGCTCAAACGGCGTGCAAGAATCCGCCGCCGCGCTTCTGCGGCTTTGGTTTGTTCAGTGAACGTGGTTTAGGTCGCGGGTGGGTCGCGGGCTCTCCACCTCCACCTGGAAGGAATGCAAAAGCAGCCCGCCGCAAGCGCCAACAAAAATTGGTTCGTACACGGAACGAGGTTTGGGTCGCGGGTGGGCCGCGGGTTCTCCACAGGGAACGAATGCAAAGGATGCCCGCCGCAGGCTCCGAAAATGTGGTTTGTACCGTGAACGTGGTCGCGGGTGAGCCGCGGGCTCTCCACCTGAAACGAATGCAAAATATACCCGCCGCAGGCGCCGAAAAATGTGGTTTGTACCCTGAACGTGGTTTGGGTCGCGGGTTGGTCGCGAGTTGGTCACGGGATGTGTCGCGGGCTCTCCACCTGGAAGGAATGCAAAAAAGCCCGCCGCAGGCGCCGAAAATTGTGGTTTGTACCTTGAACGTGGTTTGGGTCGAAGGTGGGTCGCGGGTGGGTCGCGGGGTAGGTCGCGGGTGGGTCGCGGGTGGGTCGCGGGTGGGTCGCGGGTGGGTCGCGGGTGGGTCGCGGGGTGGGCCGCGGGGGGGTCGCGGGGTGGGTCGCGGGTTGGGTCGCGGGGTGGGTCGCGGGGTGGGTCGCGGGGTGGGTCGCGGGGTGGGTCGCGGGTGGGTCGCGGGTGGGTGGGTCGCGGGGTGGGTCGCGGGGTGGGTCGCGGGTGGGTCGCGGGGCGGGTTGCGGGTGGGACGACGACAACAAACAACAACAACAACAACAACAACAACAACAACAACAACAATCATTTTACCCGAACGCGTGGTGTTCTCCCCAGTGCCAGGGTTTTCATACGACACCAGGCAATACCCCCACTTCGTGGGGGGGCATTACAAGCTCTACCAAATATCCAAACGACTCTTCGCGACCACCCAAACCCAGCTTCCCGCCCTATGACGTTGGGACACTTCACTTCGTGGCGTGCGGACGACCGTGGCTACTACACTGGCGTGGGGTACACACCCACAGAACTTGGTCACTTATTCGGGGCGCGCATGTGCCCAGCATGGTGCAATTGTGCCATACAATACATAATACAGAGAGACGAATGTGTCCCGCATGGTATTATTTGACAGGGATGATGGCCCTGGCAGGTGCGCAACCGTTGTCGCAGAAGTTCGAAAAAGTTGCTCGCAAAAGCCCGTTTGACAGAAATGTTTAAAAAGTGTTGGGTTTCCTACGAATCCGCAAGAGCGCGCGGGATGAGATTTTGACATTTTTTTGTTGAAAAACCATTGGTTTTTTGATGTTTTTATGTTAAAATCGCTCCGAACACTAAGCTTTTGGAAGGATTTCGTCTTGCGCGCGCGAATGTCCACTTTACCTTATTTTTTGCAAGGGATTCTTGAAATTTGATTATATTAGAACAAGAAATGTCATTTTATAGTGTTTTTTGCAAGGGAAAGCGGATTACAACAAAACAACCGGATCTTGATCAACTCGAATTACCTGAGGCTTCCTCACGAAAATGATGAAAACGTGGCTGCGGCCTAGGCGCGGCGGGGGGGGCGCGCACCAGGGGGCCCAACAATAATTATTCTTTAGAATTAATAATGTTCAACAACAACAACAACCACCACAACCACAACCACAACCACAACCACAACAACAACAACAACAACAACATCAACAACAACAACAACAACAGCAACAACAACCACAACAACAACACCACCAACAACAACAACTACTACAACAACAACAACAACTTCAAACAACAACAACAACAACAACAACAACAACAACAACAACAACAAGAATCCGCACCGCGGAATTCCACATCAGCCACGCACCCAGGGACAGTGAATGACCGTTCGGCCCCCTCACTCTGATATAGACTGCGACACAGAATGTACACAACATAGCTTACGCCAGAGTGTATACTCATCCACAATGCAATAGCTCACTGTCCATGTGCACGCTTGAAAACATGATGGGGTCGTGTGTAATGTTGGGCCTCTTGGAATCCTTCCTGGGTCAAAATATATCGTCAGAATACGGCATTGGATGAACAGCCAAGGCCAAAGGAAGGGGTCCAGACCTCTTGGGAGGCACGCTGTGAAAAGAAGAAACGTCGGCTGCTGAAATCCCAGGCGATACTACGACTCAGTGCAGCATCGCCCGAAGGTAGCTGACTACACCTACTGAGCCCCAGGAAAGTTGGCATGAGATGAGAAAGGGTCCTAGCCCTAATCCTCTATTGGAGTGGGACAAATAGGGGACCATGACCAAGACTGGACGCGGAAAAGTCGTGTCGATCTTGGTCAGCCTCGACCTTTGTCAGCGTCGATTCGCGGCTAACCCTCTCGAAACGGCGACGGTAGACGCGAACCATGATCAAAATCGGCATCGACAAGATCCCGCCGCAGCTTGGTCGCGCGGACCCCGTCGTCTTCCCTCGATCCTTTTCTCTCTCTCTCTCTCTCTCTCTCCACAAACCTCTTCACCATTTCCCCCCTTTTAGAGGGCCACATGCGAACCCTATTCTTACCCCCCACGGTTTCTGAGGGGGAGGGTGGGGTTCCGAGCGAAGTGCACCCCACCCTCCCCCTCAGAAATCGTGGGGGGTAAGGGTAGGGCTCGCATGTGGCCCCCTCACCTTCTCTCCAGAGGAAAAGCAAATGGCAGTGGCATAAACTTTCGGAGCCCTCAGCGGATTTCTTCGATCGGCGCTGCTCGCCAGGGGCGCCGCCGGAGGCGCCGCCAAGGGGGGCTGCAGCGCCGATCCGAGACATCCGCGCGGACCTCCAGAGGCCAACGCTTGTCCGAAGTCTTGGCCTCCGATCGGCATCCCCCGCCCCCTCTTCTCTGCCGTCGTCTCCCCCCGCCTCCTCTTCGCTGCCGCAGGGGCAGGTTGGCGGCGCGCACACGGGGGTAGGTTTAAGTCGGGCCTGTCCCCCTACAGGGGGATTTTGGCCGAAAACATTTTTTTCAACAAAAAGAACTCCCAAAATGTTAGAAAATACTCAGCAAAAAAATGTCCCCAGACTATTTTTAAACTATTTGTGAATATGCCTCCTGTAGAGGGACAGACCCGACTGAAGGGTAGGTCGAGGGGGGAAGCCTGCTCAGGAAGGGGCTGCTTCTCACAAAGGCGCTGGCCGTGCGCCTCCAGAGAAGGCCCGCGCCTTCCCAGGAGCAGGGGTGCGCCAAAGCAGCCTTCCGCCCCCGAGATCCGACGCAGCGAACAAGATGCAGCATCGCAAAAGCTACCAGCCTCGAACGCATCCCTATCCCTAAAAGATTGACGCGCCAAAAGGCGATGACAATCTTAGGGATTCGCCCTCAAAAAATAAGGGAATCCCTAGAATTGGCATCGTGATGAGAAGGTGCCCAGCATAGGGATAGGGATATGTTCCATTTGGACGCCCGAAATGGGTACCGAAAAAATGGGTACTATGCCCAACAGCAAATGTTGTCCCAAACCAACAGCGGCCGCTGTTGCGCAGGCGGCCTCCTGTCTCGAATGGACACAGGCCGCGGCGGCGCGGACAGCGAGCCCTGTTCAAACTGAACAAGATCCGCTGTTGGGCATCGTACCCATTCTTTCAGTACCCATTTCGGGCGTCCAAATTCCAGGCTGGTAGAGAAGGCCGCGCCCGGAGCCCTGGACCCCCTCTTTCGGCGCCCTCGTCCGAGCCGGAACCGGATCCATCTGTGAGGGAGCCCCAGGGCCCGGCGAACTGCGAAGACGCCCGGCTCGGAAAAATGGAGGCGCCGGGACGTCAGGGCCCCTGGGGCCCCAGCCCCCCCCCCCCCTGCTTGGCGGCGCGCGCGAGGAGATAGGGGGAGGGGGCAGAGCTTCTTAGGAGGAGGCTGCTTCTCAGAAGGCGCAGGCCTCGCATCTGCAGAGAAGGCCCCGCGCCTTCGAAGAAGCAGGGGGTGCTTCTCGGAAGCCCTCCCCCCTCCTAGGGGGCCACATGCGAACCCTACCCCTACCCCCCACGACATCCCGACCGAAGTGAACCCCACCCTCCCCCTCAGAAATCGTGGGGGGTAGGGGTAGGGTTCGCATGTGGCCCCCTACCTCCCCCCACCCCCCCTCTGCGCGTGGCCACTCTGCGCGTGCACGAGCAGGGCTGCCCGCCCTGCAACCGCCAGCCGCCGCCCCCCACCCCCCTCCGCCCGCGCGCGCCTGGTGACCGCCGCCGCGGGCCGCCGGCTTTCCGTGGGCGGCGCCTGTCCCGCCCCCTGGAACGACGCGCACCCAGAGAGCCTCCTCACTCTCTCCCGCACTCCTTCCCTCCGTCCCTCCCTCCCTCCTCCTTCCCCTCATCCTTCCTCCTCCTCCTCCTCCTACTCCTCCTCCCCCTCCTCCTCCTCCTCTTCCTCCTCCTCTTCCTCTTCCTCCTTCTCCTCCTCCTCCTCCTCCTCCGCCTCCTCCTCCTCCTCCTCCTGCTCCTCCTCCTCCTCCTGACGAGGAGCAGCATCTGGTTATGGATACGCGTCCCCAGTAGGACATCCGGAAGGTCTCGGAGCATATCATCAGAGTGATGTGGCCGAACTGTCATTCATTGTCCCTGGGTGCGTGCCAGAAAAGGCCTACTGTCTGGCGGATTCTGCTTGCTGTTGCGTTGTCGTCGTCCTCGCCCGCGACCTGCCCGCGACACGCCCCGCGACCCACCCCGCGACCCACCCCGCGCCCGCCCCCTCACTCTTATCTGCAAGTTCGGGGTGCTACGTTTAGCATTGATCTCTTGCTCCTCTGGTCGTAGCCCCGCTTCTTGGCCGCACAGCGACATTGGCGGCGAACGGCAGCGAACGCGGCTGACGTGGCCGGCCGCCGTCATCGTGCATGGACGTCTCTTCGGCCCTGCGTGGGGTCCCCAGCCAGGGCCTCTCGGAGTATGGAGCAACTCCTGGGGAGTTTCCGTAAGCTGGAGCATGCCAGATTCGGCCCAGGATGGAGGTAAATCAGGTCGGACTGAGCGAACTTGAACGAGATCCTACAGGAGTAGGCAGGCCCATGGGACGCTCTAGACGATCGCGCTGCTGGTGGAAACCACACTGGGCCCCAAAAGATGCCCGAACACTTTCGAAAACTTCCCTCTGAGCCTACCCCCACGAGCGTGGCCCCTGACCGAGCGCTCCCACCCTCCCACTCTGAGGGAACTTCTAGGAAATCTTCGCACGAACGGTTAAACGATATTCAATCCGTTGATGGCCCGTCAAGCCAGATTGCGTCAAATGAATAAAACCGAGGATTACACGGAACTGAGCGGGGTTATGCCAAATTTGTTGGGAGGCTCATGGTGGGCAGGGCGGGTGGCATCAACACTTATCATCTGCCCCCCGGTCATGTGCGCGTGCAGGATTTCTGCGTGCACAAGTAAGGGAAAGGCCCCCTTTGCGTTCCCCTCCCTTCTTGCCTCACACATTGCCTAAGGGCCGATAAGGAGGTTGACTCGTGCTTGCTCGCGTAAGTGGGCCGAAGAGGAGATTGGAGAGGTTTCGCGGGCGCTGGAATCGTCCTTCGTGTGTGTGTGTGTGTGTGTGTGTGTGTGTGTGTGTGTGTGTGTGTGTGTGTGTGTGCGTGTGCGTGCGTGCGTGCGTGCGTGCGTGCGTGCGTGTGCGTGTGCGGGTGCGTGTGCGTGTGTGTGTGTGTGTGTGTGTGTGTGTGTGTGTGTGTGTGTGTGTGTGTGTGTGTGTGTGTGTGTGTGTGTGTGTGTGTGTGAGCGTGCGTGCGTGCGTGCGTGCGTGCGAGCGTGCGTGCGTGCGTGCGTGCGTGCGTGCGTGCGTGCGTGCGTGCGTGCGTGCGTGCGTGCGTGCGTGCGTGCCTGCGCGCGCGCGCGCGCGTGCGTGGGAGTGGGAGTGGGAGTGGGAGTGGGAGTGGGAGTGGGAGTGGGAGTGGGAGTGGGAGTGGGAGTGGGAGTGGGAGTGGGAGTGGGAGTGGGAGTGGGAGTGGGAGTGGGAGTGGGAGTGGGAGTGTGAGTGGGAGTGTGGGAGTGTGTGTGTGTGTGTGTGTGTTTGGGGGGCGCCAGAGGCCAGTCGGCGAGGCGCGGGGACGGCAGGAAAGCCGCTGCGTCCCTTGGAGTGCCGCGATCTTTCAATTTTGATATCATCCGCGGGGCGCGGCATGCTCTTTGATTGATCGTTCATGGCATCGGCCGGTGTGCCCTGCCAGCCGTCTGGAGACATCGTGGCTCAAAGTGTTCGAATCTGCGGCGCAAGCTGCAACAAAAACGACCCGCCCGCCCCAGACGGCAAGGATGTCTGAACTGCAACCGAGGCCTGCGCAGCTCCTGCAGAAGCATGGAGTAGACGGGAGGGTGCCAACCTGCCTCGAAGCAAGCACATGGTGAGGGTGACACACTTCCACGGCCTCGCGGACTCCGATGGCCGACGTCGCGGGTGGCATGTGTGTGTCCCTGCTAGCCTGGACGCCGCAGACCGCTGCGATGGAGAAGGCGGAGGCCCCTGTGGCAAGCGATCGGGGAAACATCGGAAAGGGCAAAGATGGCGATTCGGATGATCCCATCGACGCGAAAGTGCGGGCCAAGAGAACAACGGGCTTCGTGAAGCACTCCCGCATCAAGCTTCCTTCACACCTCATAGGCACGGACACGTCAGCAGGGCGACTCGTGCGTGAACACGAGCGCAGGGCACCGACTGCGCGCCATCTCCACAAAGTCCGGGCCCTCACAACAGCAAGCCTGGTGCCCAGAAAGATGGTGGGTGTCAGCACCGAGCTCGGTGCCTCAGACTTGGCCTCGAGGGAACCGCGGCCAGTGCGGATGAGATCAGAACCTGCTCCGCGCACGCTGTCTACAGACGCCCCTGGCTCTGGCCGCAGCCCCGGAGTGGGGGGTCGGCAGGCTGGTTTTAAGTCGGGCCTGTCCCCCTACAGGGGGATTCTCGACGAAAAATAAAAGATACCCCAAAAATACTCCAAAAATGATCCAAAAACAGTCTGGCGACTATTTCTTGATTCTTTGTTTGACTTTTTGGGGGGCATTTTGGGGGCATTTAAAGCTTTCGTCGACAATCCCCCTGTAGGGGGACACGCCCGACACGAGGCTGGCTGGCCCGTGCGCCTCGACTGCCACGGAGTGGGCCGTGCTGCAGGCGCTCGAACGCCAGAAGGGCAGGGCCCCGCCCGCGGAGAGGCCCCGTGGCGCGCTCCGGGCGGGCGGCGGCAGTCCGCAGCGAACCCGAGACGTCGACGGGAGCAGCGGGGGCGGGCCTCCTCGGAAGCCTCGGAGGGCCTTCGACCTCCTCCAACGCCCCACCGCCTTCCGAGGAGGCCTGCCCCACCCCACTTCCACCCTCCTCGTCTTCCTCCTCCTCCTCCTCCCCGTCCTCCTCCTCCTCCTCCTCCTCCACCTCCTCCTCCTACTCCTCCTCCTCCTCCTCCTCCTCCTCCTTCCCCGCCTCCTCCTCCTCCTCCTCCTCCTCCTCGTCCTCCTCCTCCTCGTCCTCCTCCTCCTCCTCCTCCATGCCGCCCCGAGTGGATGTCGCCCTTCGCCGAGCTCCACAGCGACCGCGCGGAGGGCGACTCCAGCGGGCCACGGGGGCCAGCGGCAGAGAAGGCACGCCGCAGCCCCCGGCGCGCCACCCACGACGGGCACGGGAAGAAGCTGCGCAAGTTCTACGACGCAGGCAAGTGGACCCATAGGTGAGTATCGTTTATTAACGGACGAAGAACGGTATAACAACAAAACAAAAAAAACGCTGTCGGGGGCGCCTGTCCCTGGGCGGCTGGAAAGTTTATACCCTTACGGTGGCACCGTAGGGGTATAAACTTTCCAGCCGCCCAGGGACAGGCGCCCCCGACAGCGAAAAAGTTTATGTTATACCGTTCTTCGCTCGCTGAGTGTAACCAATCCCCATCCCCAGCGGCGTCGCCTGGGCCCCACTGGCCGCTTTACCCCCCTAGATGGGGATACAAGTCGTTCCCTTCGGGTTCCGAGGGGTGTGTAGCTCCAACTGGGGTGGTCATTTGGTGGGGGTCTCGAAGGAGATGGAGAACTGGAATGGGGATCGGTTAACCGATACCGAATAGGGCAAGAAAGTGCAGGTTCAAGCACGCCTGCAGCGTGAGGGGATGCGGCGGCGATCCCGCCGCGCCCGACAACCACGAGGCGGCGCCAGCCCCCGCCGGGACAGCCGCGCGCCGCCCGGGCGACCTCTGCGGCAGAGCGCTCCGAGCGAGGCCGCCGCAGCGACTCGCTGCCGCCTCCTGCGCCAGGGCCCTGGGGCTCGGCAGACGGCCCGGCAGCGGCGCCGTCGCGCGCAGCGCGCCCGGGGCGCGGCGCGGAGCACCCGCCGCTGGCCCCGGAGGGCCTCGGAGAGGCCCGCAGGCTTCCTGAGCTCAGCTCGTGGAGCGCCCCGGGCGTGCGGCGCCCGTCGTGCGCCCGGCAGCGGGGGAAAGGGGCGTGCCGCCAGCAGCCCGCGGAGGAAGCCAGCGTGGCGAGGCGGCTCTCTCCCAGCCTGTGCGCAGATCGCCTCCTGGGCGCGTGATCTGCAGGGAGAGCGGGAGGAGTGGACAGCGGCGCTGCACCCCGGCGTCCGCGCCGCAGTGGGCCACGCCCACGACCCTCTGCTTTGCAAGCTGCTCGAGTCGACGGACCACCCGGATGGGGCGTGTGTCCCGTCGTTGTGCAGCGGTCGACCAGACCTCGGTCGCCTAAGCTTGCGGATGTCGCTCGAGTAGTGGCTCTGCGGTGCGCCAGACAGAAATGCAAGGGCCGTAGCCGCGGTGATGTCGCCTGGAGACGAGGAGCTCGGCCAAGGCGCATGGGATAAGAGACAGAAAAAGATAGCCGTGGGGACCGTGCAAGGCCCATTTAACGCGCGAGGTGTAAACCTGTCGTCGATCGCTGTCTATCCGTCTCTCCCAGCATGGGAACGAAGCTATTGAGACCAGTGGAGGGGGCGCAATACATACATAGAGAGAGAGAGAGAGAAACAAAAAAAAGGCGAGCGGCGCCAAGGCCACCGTGCACACAATGGAGGCCAACGCCCTACGCACAGGACGAATTGATTCGAACACTTCCCGTGTGGCGGTGCGATTCTGCAAGGAGTTGTGGGGCGGGAGGAGGGCCTCCTGCTGGCTTCACCTCCGACGACAGCGGCACCGTCCACCAGCGTCCAAGTCTGCGCGATCAGACCCCTACATGTGGTCTGCTGTGTGGCGTCTTGGATTGAAGAGAGTGGTGTTGATGCACAACTGAAGTTCA